TTTTTTTTTTTTTTTTTTTTTTTTTTTTTTTTTTTTTTTTTTTTCTAGTTTAATGCTTCTCTATACATTTCCTTACCTTACTCTCCGAGTATTACGTTCTCTTCCAGAAAAATTACAAAATTCTCAAGTAGGATCAGCTCACAGTCCTGAATTTGTGTAATTGGTAGGCTAGTTTGTTCCATTTTTCCTTTTGATGAGCAAATGCAATGACAGCGCATATATATTTTGAATATGTTATGTCTTTGTTTCACCCTCCTGGTTTCATAGATTATTTTACACTAAATTGATGTTTTAAATTGCTTGCTCTTTTCTCATCAGGTGATTTAACGTTTATCAATAGTCAGTGTTATCCACAGCCACATTATTTTCTGATCCCATTGTGTCACTGGGAAAGGATTGCATTATAGTTAGCATCTTGTATGCCTTGGTCTTTTTTTGATCTATGTTATACCTTATTGCATATTTTTTTGATATAGTATATTATGCCTTATTGGCTAACAATCGATGGGTCAATCCTATAGAGAGCTTGCTTCTTTTGATATTACTTTTGAAATCTGTCTCAGATGAACTATAGCTTGACCGAACCGAGTTAATGTTAAAACTTTTTTCTTGTTGGCTCAAGTGGTTGATTGAAATCTTGTTTACATATCGTTTTACTCTGTCACATGTTATGTTTCATGGTGTTGAATTTGAAATCACCAGTACTACAAAATCATCCTATGCTGGTTCAATGGTTAAACGCTCAAATTATAAACTTAAATATCTTTGAAGACATGAATTTTGACCATAACACCTACCCTGGATATCAAAGATTGGTCAAGTCTTCAGATACCCTGCGATATTATTGGTCAAGTTTTTAGAGAACAAATGTTGTATGATTAGATAGTTTGGCCTATGAATATGAAACTTAAGGTTCAAATACAGAATGGTAGTAAAAAAATGTGTTTAGTTATACTTTTGAGATGAATTGAGGGTTTTTAGGAGGGGAAGCTTATCATTATCCTAGTCTTTATGATTCTGAAGTTTTGGTGGTAACTGCATCATAGGATCTGTATCAATTGGGTCAATCGCAGTAAAATTTCAGATAAATAGGATCCTAGCAGTACAACTATGATTATTGATGTGGATCAGGTTAGGAATCACTATTCTCCACAATGGTACGATACTGTCCACTTTGAGCATAAGCTCTCATGGCTTTGCTTTGTGTTTTCCCCAAAAGATCTCATACCAATAGAGATAGTATTCCTCACTTATAAATCCATGTTCTTCCACTAAATTAACTAACGTGTGACTCACTCCCAATAATCCTCAATCGATCAATGGGTACACTTGCAAAGAGATAGGGTGCGGGATATGAGCCATATTGGTTCTTGATATTTGCTCATGTTTTCTATTTGGAAGATGTTACCCCATGTGTTGATCTATAGCTTTTGATTGACACAACGATTTTTGTATTTATCATCAGTTGATTAGTCGCGTTCCTTGTACTAGTTTGCCTTGCTGAAACTACTGTCTTACCAGAACTGGAAACTGTCTCAGATGAACTCAACCATGTTTGATTACTAGAACCTCATGAGCGCTTAAACTCAGAAGATTTTATTCGAAAAGACTGATGTTTTCCCATCATTTGGGAGAAGTATTGATTGGACAAAATGGATTTTATACCTGTGATTTAGATTTACCTGTTCCTTTTAGACATCTCTGTTCATGCTCTGGGTTCCTTCCATCTCTGCTTGGTTTAGATGGAGTATTTTGATAGGAAGCGTGGGAATATATGGCCAATGAAGAAAATACATTAAACATAACTACCAAGTAATTCGAGTTACTTGGATCCTTCCTCTCTTGATATCATATCTTCATCCTTTCACTCCCACTCTATTTACAGCAAATCTCCAATAATAAATTTCCTAGCTAATTATTAAGGTACCCTTGATACCCTAATGATATTTGCTCATTCTATCCTAATAGCATTCCTATTATTTTGGTGTTCATGAATTATCTATATATATAAAGGTGTGGGAATGTGGCCCTGGTGAGTTCTTTTTCCTGTCCAGCACGAAACTGAATTTCCTATTACTACAATTCTGTTGAATCTGCATTCGATCCTTTGTTTTGCACGTGATTATTATATGTATGTTTTGTTAGAATTACGAACTTTTACAGTGAGACATGATATTGTCTACTTTGAATTTAAGTTCTTACTTTTGGTTTTCCCAAAGAGTTTTATTCCGACAAAGATAATATTCCTTGCTTGTAAAATCCATGATTTTTTTCTTAATTAGCCCTTATGGGACTATTTCTCTCAATAATACTCAACAACAATATTCATTCACATGTTTTTTAATTCCTAGGGGTCCATTGCTTTGATTTTGTTGAATCTGCTTTTGATTGTTCGGTTTATGTTATGTTCAATACCCACGGGTCAATAGGATCTTGCTGGGTTCACCCAACACATTGTCTGCACCTCCACGCTTTAGTCTCGGTTTCATTATCTTTGGAGTTTTAAAAGTTCAACCTTAATAGATTTATGACTTTCTTTTATACTCGGTGGCTATGTTTTTTCAAGCTCTAGGATTGCGACTCTTAGATTAAAAGACATAAATTCAATAAAAACATATGTAGGCCAAAAATGAAGTATATAAATTAGACTTTTATCCATACAAATCAAGCTATCACTAAACTTTTAATATATAGTTTAAATATCACAAATCATGCTTCCCATATCAGGACCGAATGGCGATTGATTTGAAGGAGAAGATGATCTTAGTATGTGCAATTCTTTAGTGGGTACCATCATTCTTATTTTTCATTTGTTCACTTATATTCATTTATTTACTTGTATTATTGCAGCGACGTGCTTCCAATCACCCACCAAAATCCCAAACTCAATTAACTCCGAGTTTTGAGTATTTCATTGTTATCCATATGGTATGCACGAAATATGGAATTAAAACACGTTCAGGAATCAAACAAAAAGATTATAACAATTTGTTTACTCACAACTAATTCAGATCCATTTGGTAGGGCAAGACGTAAGCTTAAAAAGTATTATAATGCAAATGCCACCCTGCACTCAATATAATATCATTCATTTCTCCTCTTAATTTCAACTTTGCTCATACTCAAATCTTTTGCAGTTCAATGATCTGGGTTTTGTTGCATCCTCAAAATGAAACCCATGTTTCCCTCCTTCCTCTGTTCCACCTTAATTCTCCCATTCTTTTTCTAACAAACAAATGCTATCAGAATTACCTCCATCACACTTCCTCTCTCAACCATGTCTTCTAAGCTGAAAGGAATCTACAAAAGTTTCAAATTCGTCACGCATATTTTCGGTAATTTTTTCTTTTCTTTTTTTTAATTTTCCTCCTATTAAACTATCACTAAACTCAAAAGTTTATACGATTGCAGCAATGAAAGATCGCGAGATGGAAATTGGTTATCCGACCGATGTGAAGCATGTATCTCACATCGGGTTGGATAATTCATCGCCATCCGGTTCCACCCCTAGTTGGGTATATGCTCTGCTCCCTCTTCAATAAAAATAAATAAATAAATAAATTTGCTGTTCCCAAGAATTATGTTGATCCCAATAACGCAGATCAAGGAATTCAAAGGTGGCGAGGTTAGTGAAGGAAGAGATTCGAGTGCAACTGCTGTAACTGCCTTGTCTCATTGGTCCACTCCTTCACAAGGTCTGTAACTAACTAACTTCTAGTCGTTTTAAGTTTGGAAGGATAAGTTGTTGTTCAATGATGAAAGTCCGACGTCAGCTAATTTAGAGAATGATCGCATGTTTATAATCAAATAAATACTTTCTTCATTAGTATGAGGCCTTTTGGAGAAACCAAACCAAAACTAAAGTCACGAGAGCTTATGCTCAAAGTAGATAATATCATATCATTGTGGAGAGTCGTATTCATCTAACAGTAGTGACCAAATTTAATGTAGATTTGTGTGTCGGATGGGCAGATTTTGATGTTTCAATAGGCTACCAATCGGCGTCGGACATATCGTTGGAGCTTGGGCAGCCACAACTTCCAAAGAAACCAAAGAAAAAAAAGAGCTGCAAGCATACCTCCTCCTCCTACTCAACAACAACAAACTCCAAACCTTCCTGAAATAAATATACACTTTTTGGTTTGGTTTTGTTCCAATTCATATATTCACTTTTATAAATTTCCCGAATTATGGACTAAAATCTCTGATTATTGGTTTTTTTTTTTTTTTTTTCGTTTCCATTTTAGGAACTAAATTATTTAATTGTTTAAAAAGAAACAGAAGGCAGCAACATGGATGATGGTTGGAGTGAACTCCGTGGACAGGCCCAACCGACGAGAGCCCAATAGTGAATTCGGAGGCCCGATCCCATGTTCAGTTTAGATGGGACTGAGCCCAAATAAAATGTAGAAGTATGGGGTGGGGTGCATTATATTTACCCCCCACGTGGCTTCNGGGGGGGGGGGGGGGGGGGGGGGGGGGGGGGGGGGGGGGGGGGGGGGGGGGGGGTTATTTATTGAAGTGGATGGAAGAGGGAGATGGTGTAACAGTATATTTTGAATGTGGTGAAGAACCATATTTACTGTGTTCTCCTTACTCCTTCCTTCCCACAATCCACAATCTTCAATCTTGTCAACCTTTTGTTTTCAAACTCTTTTTTCTATTTAATACCAATAAAATCTTTCTTGCCCTTTTCTTAGATTTCCTTTCTACAACAAATGAGTTTAACTAAACGAAGGGTACTAAGACAAACTCATTGGGAAGTCTTGTCGACCCAAACCAATAAGAGTCAAAGAGTGTGGACGATGCATGTTACCTATAAAGTTGTTGAAAATTGTTGGAAGAGTCTCACATTGGCTTATATGCAAGAAATATATTTCTATTAGTATGAGACATTATTGAAAACAAAAAACAACGTTATTAAAACTTAGACTCAAATTAGAGATTTGTTGTTCCTAACATGTTATTAGAGTCATATACTTTGTTTGAATATTCTATAAGCCTTAAAGAGGCTCGTTTAAAATTCAACAAAATAAAAATTCATAAAATAAAAATTATAGCCCAATATTTTGTAAATAATGAATAGAAATTTGGAAGTAGAAGCCAAAACCTAATTAAATTGTTGAGTTTAAAATTTAAGAAATATATATATTTCTAAAATTAACTAAAGTTGAATGAGTGTAATTAAAATCCAACTACTGTACACACCACGACAACAGTGGGTGTATTTATTTATTTATTTATTTATTGGAGTAGCTATTAAATAGTGGGTTTTAAAAATTGAAGGTTTAGTGATAATTGGAAAATAAAAGATCTGTCACGTCAAATCAACATAATAATTACCATAGTATTCACAGTGCTGAAATCTCTTGGAAAGGTAAATGGTGAAAAATGGGATTTCAGCGATACCTGGGGGGTTAAAACTTCAAAGTAAAAAAAAAGGCGTAAATCGGAGAGGGTGTTAATTAAATGCTGGGTCTGAATGTTGTTGGGTGATCCGTAAATATCAACAAATTAAAAGAAAGATGGTGAAACTTCTATTCAACTGGACGGAGCCCACGTTCGATGCTTCACTTGTGCCTTTTCAGGTGATTCTTTTTTTTTTTTTTTCTTTTTTCTTTTTTAAATAAATAAATAAATATATATATATATATATACTCTTATTTATTAAAGAATCTCCTTCAATATCCTTTTCCTTTGGAATTAATCTGCGTCCATGTTGCCGACATGTCGGACTATGTTTCCCATCAACTTTCAATTTCAAGCTTTCCATTTCCATTTCCCTTCCTTTTCATTTTTTTTTTTATAAATAAAGACATATATCAATCATCTAAAATCACTTTCCCCTCAAACGACACCATCATTTTCCTTTTTAGCAATTATTTTATGACATCTTCGAGCGTACTCCTTGTTTAAATTAAAAGATGATATTTTTCATAAAGATCGAGCATAGAAGACATGTCTTTATCTAATTGTTTGTACTTCTCGTTCTAATGGAAAAAGAAAATGGAGTTAAGTGTTGAGCAATTTGTGGAATAATATGGGATTTGAAATATGGGGGTATGGCTTCGATGGTTGCGCCGAATTCATGGATTCATCGCTTTCTCTCCGATTGCTTGGGGTTTCGGACCACACAAGACAAGCTGAACCACCAGTGTCCGATGTGACGGAGGAGGCAGAGGAGAGAGACCCGTCGTCTTCTTTCCCGCCGTCCACTTCCTTCTATATCATTTTCTCCTTGTTTCTATCATCATCTACACATAAATATTGAATACATTCATAAATTCTTCATAAATATTAAGATGATAATAAAACATATGCCCATTCTACCCTCCATCCATTTAAACAAAAATATTTGTGTAATGATTGGCGATTAGGGTGTTAGCCTCAGGTATTATAATAATACATATGTACATTAATCAAGGATAAACCGGGGACCATTGCATTAAGATTAGGGCTGAATAGTGTTGGATGAAACAGTTTGCAGAGGAGAGTGATGGAATTCAGGAGGCTTGGGGTCCTAATTTAATAAATAATTATGCATTCTCTACCCACACCAAACCAAACCAAAAAACATTTATGTATTCGGGACACAGCTGTCTCCTTCCACTGCCCCAATATTCAATTTTCTTCCCAACAAATATTTATATTAAGTTTTCTACGATCTTCACCAAAAAAACAACACACACACACACTCACACAAGTTTTGAAAATATTAGATGCGCAAATCTCCACAAAAAAAAAAAAAAAAAAAAAAAAAAAAAAAAAAAAAAAAAAAAAAAAAAAAAAAAAAAAAAAAAAAAAAAAAAAAAAAAAAAAA